TGAAAGGTGATGCGAGGAATCTGACACTGCACTGTTGCCCTTCTGTTGTCTTGTACCAGTCTTGCCCCTCCCCCGTTCTGCCCTAACATTGACTAGTCGCTGACGGCCACAATTCGCACGTTCAGACCCAGATTTTCGTCTGACAGTCCTGTCTGTAAACACTTTAACAATATTCCCCTCTCGAACATTTAATGAATTCTGCTGTTTTGCTGATACTCGCTCCATGGCTCCGAGCGCCAACAATCATCCCGCGTTCAAAGGCTGATACATCGCGTTGTTTCCCCGTATCTTCAGAAACAAATCACTTCTACTGTCGTGGTAACCAACCTGCTTCCCTATTTATAATGGTCTGGCCCTCTAGCAACTTCAGCGCCAAATTATAGCTAATTTGCCTACAAACGTTATGTGCTCATAATAATCTGGCCAGTGTGTGTAATATATATATATATATATGGAAATCTCACATGCAGAAGATTTGATACAATGACGGAATGGAAAGGATCCCCTCCCCATCCCATTCTCAGACCAGCGAAGCAAAGATAAGAAACCACCACAAAAACAGAGGCGAGATTTATAGATTTAAATCACATGATCATCACATAGAGCAGATCCTCAGCAGATCCATTAGGTACACAGCATTGGACAAGGCCAGCAAAGCTCCGCCCACCACCGCCACCAAGCACGCATCAGGAGCGCAGAATATAAAATCATGGAAATCGTTTGCACAGCAGGAAGATCCGATCGATTGATTTGAGGTTTGATTATTGATACAGGAAAGCAGCGCAGCACAAAGACAGACACACAACAAATAATTCAACACTTCAGAAGTCTGAGAGGAAGACGACCTGACCAATGTACATTGATGTATACAAAATGTATATGTTATGTGACAAGGGGCCGTTCTCTGACAACGCTATAAGGGGCCAAATCACACACTGATCTTTGTCTTGTTTCAACAAGTGATCTGCAGGAAAATGTATCTTGTTTTGTATCTGTTTGTTCCATTTTTTTTTCTATAAAAAAGGGAAATGAGCAAGCTTTAAAAGGTCTCCTTCACCCCCGTGCATACATTAAAAAGAGAACTATGTGGTCAGGGCTTTTCCCCATTGTTCTCCTAAGGGTAACGGGAGGACACAAACTTACGTCCTCTCGTCACCCTAAGCTCAGTATATAGAGAGCTACAGCTCGCGGTATACCGAGACGCCGCAGCCGGGACAGATCCCGACAATACTGTCTGGATCCGCCCAGCTGCGTGATTGACAGCTGGCTCTGCCTATCTAGAGGCAGAGCCAGCTGTACCCGCCCCCTCCCCCATCAGCGCTGGAGGATCAGAGCGGGGAGTGACAGTCACGGCTCTCTGCAGGGATAGATCGAGAAGTGAGGGGGCAATGGTATGTGTTCGCTCACTTCCTGATCTACTAAGCTGACATGTGACAGTTTCATTGTCACAGGTTGGCTCAGATTACGAGGCCGAGTGAAAATCACCTCACCTCATAATTCTCCTTTAATGCATGCCTTTGTATGTGTTGTTTGAATGTTGTTTGTAATTTTGAATGTGCTGTCAATGTGGGGTATAATAAATAAATCGCGCCTGAACTATTTTTGGCAATGTAACACACATGCGTTGTGGTGCATCAAATCCGAGGTGTATGATCTCTCTATATAGGTGCGTTGGGGCCATTATAAATGAACATCAGAACAATGCAGCACACACATACCTGCGCACCATTATTTTACCGCATGCTCCTGCAATGCACAGGTACGGGGGTCGGTCTAAGGGCCCACTGCCATCGTTTTTGCTTCCGGATCACAATGCGGTTTGGAACTTTGTACTCCCCGTTTGCATTCTGTGCTACTAAACGTTACAAAAGTATCTATTTTCTGGAATCTGGATTGAAAAAGACGAAACTCATTTTTCTGCAACCCAGCTAAAATTTCCCAATGGAATTTGGACCAATGAAAAAGAAGAACGGCTTTCAGGGAGATTTCTCTTCCAAAGCGCAAGTGAAGCAGAATAGAGGAAATGGACCCGAACTGTGCTGAAAATAACCTGCAAATTACGCGATATCCCCCTCCCCCCCAATTAAGGGTAATATGGTTTCCTCATCGCTAGTGAAAGCCAAATCTGTAGAATAATCGCGGCAATCTGTAGGGGGGGCGGGGGGACACAAACCGTTTCTCGCTGTGGGTGGCGCCGGGACTCCTCTGCAGGTTCTCAATCTCCACAAGCATCGGTTCTGTAGGGAGGGCGGTCGCTACCGGCAGGGAGGGGCGTACAGACCGCACAGGCCACACCTGGAAGACGTGAAATCAGAGAGAACGATTAGTTTAAATCCTTCAGTTCCAATAAAAAGTATTTTTTTCCCGATCCCATCTGATACACACATGTACAGAGTCTCCCCCTAGTGGCCATCCACAAATCAGGAAGGACCGGCATTACCATGTACCCCCCCCAAGCAAATCCCGGTATTATTTGTTTCCTCTACTTTGTTCCTGTAGCAGAAAACACCTTTTATTACTCCTAGTGCGGTCACCAGGCTTGTCAACTTCTTTACAGGGGCAGAAACTCAGTTCCCATAACTACATATTCCAAGAGCCTTTTGCCTATGGCACGCTCCTAGAACTACAGCCTCTTCCCTATTTGTGTGGCCAGGCTCTTGGCAATGAAGCCAGCGGCATTGTTCGGCTGGAAAATAATGTATGGGGAGAGAGAAAAGAGGAGGGGCGAGAGAGAAAAGAGGAGGGGCGAGAGAGAAAAGAGGAGGGGCGAGAGAGAAAAGAGGAGGGGCGAGAGAGAAAAGAGGAGGGGCGAGAGAGAAAAGAGGAGGGGCGAGAGAGAAAAGAGGAGGGGCGAGAGAGAAAAGAGGAGGGGCGAGAGAGAAAAGAGGAGGGGCGAGAGAGAAAAGAGGAGGGGCGAGAGAGAAAAGAGGAGGGGCGAGAGAGAAAAGAGGAGGGGCGAGAGAGAAAAGAGGAGGGGCGAGAGAGAAAAGAGGAGGGGCGAGAGAGAAAAGAGGAGGGGCGAGAGAGAAGAGAGAGCGTGAGGGGGGAAAGGAGGAGTTGTGTAGTCCAGCAGACGGGGCTGACAACATTTGTAGATATTTCAGTGTGGCAGAGGCATTGTGTTGTCAGCTCAAAGAGGAAGTTAGGAGCTCACTTGATTCCAGGCAACAGGTAGTTTGGTCTTCATTATCAGTAGCACAGACATGGATGAACCCCATTGCTGACTACAGAGGAACATTGCATCACGTGAGAGGCGGCCATACCTGCTGGGATCCATTGGTCTGAATGGCGGGATCATTTCTGAAGGCAGCACTGGGGGAAAAAAAAAAAAGAGTTAAAAACCAAGTTAGCCAATACCATGGGGCTGCCCCCCTCTCGTCTGACACAGAGGGATGCCAGACTCATTCACCATAAGGTCACACCTCACTCCAACCAACCCTGGCCCAGCAAAGTCATTCCCTACCCCCGCCCCAATCCAGCACTGCAATGGCAGCCCACGGACTCTCACTTACTTGGCGAAGTCAGGTCTTCCTCCGTGTCCTGTATATTATAAAGGCAAAAGAAAGAGAAACAATTAGTAATTTTAAAAAAAAAAAAAAAGGTAACATTTTCTGCCATATATTTTACAATGTTCCAGATTGGTGGATGAGAACGATTTATGGGACCCGTCACTTCAAAAAATATTAAGGATTCCAATGCACAGAAACTCCTGATGAGAGATACACTATATTACCAAAAGTATTGGGACGCCTTTACACGCACATGAACTCTAATGGCATCCCAGTCTTAGCCCGTAGGGTTCAGTATTGGGTTGGCTCCACCCTTTGCCGCTATAACAGCTCCGCCTCTTCTGGGAAGAAATCCACAAGGTTTAGAAGTGTGTCTATGGGAATGTTGGACCATTTGTGAGGTCAGGTACTGATGTTGGGGGAGGGGCTCGCAATCTCCGCTCTAATTCATCCCAAAGGTGTTCTATGGGGTTGAGGTCAGGACTCTGTGGGGCCGGTCACGTTCCTCCCCTGATAGATATAGATAATACTAATTGGAGGACTAAAAACGGAATGATTCCTCCCATAAAGATTATATTTGATCTCTGTTCACATGTGTCATAATCACAGGGAGGTCCCCCACCTCTAGACAACATGGTTCTCCTAGAGTAGCGCTTGCTGGGTCTTCGCTCAAAGGACGACGATCGCCGCGGTTTGCTGGACTTTGTGGTCTGGTATTCGGTCTTCCCGCTATGCAGAGACAAGGAACAGAAAATGGTTAAAGCTGTACACAGTTGGTGTATGAAATGTCATTTCCTACTTTTGTTATGGGCTCAAAGACTCTCCTAGAAGTCTGCATTAGGATACAAGTAACATTTTAGTTATCTCCGGCAATAGAAATTTCATTTAGACGAGATACTTCCTAAGGGTTAAATATTACTAAAGGGATGCCGACATTGCAACTTTCCTCATTAGAACACTGAAAGTCCACCGGTTAG